TGGATGGATGGCGCCTGGGTTGGCTCCTTTGCCCAGACATCGATACAGCTGCGGCAGTGGCAAAAACGAGGCAAGGGACACTCTGACTTTGCGGAAGTTGAAGGCGGGCAAGTACGGCAAGAGGGGCTTGGATCGACCGTGGCCTTTCAGCTCAGATGAGTTGCCCGTGGTTAGTCCTGTGAGTGAAGTCCTCCAGTGATCAATCAAGAGGATCTTGTGAGTGAAAAGCTCCTCTTTGCGGCTGAGCAGGCTGTTTTGCGCAGGTACTACTTTTCCTCCTGCTCGCCAACGCCTGGCGCTCAGCAATGGCAAGCGACGAGACGCGCAAGTAGGCCCGTGGCAACCGGCTGAAAGGGCGAAACGACGGTAAGCGAATGCGGTGAAACACGGAGAGTGAGTACTTGAATGGCCGACATGTGTGCAAATGGTGGACATGCGGATCCCCGCTTCAATAAGCACATGGCGCGCAAAGGTTTCCTTTCAATTGCAGCTGTAACTCCGGTGTATATATATATAATGTATACATATATATATATACACACAATATCTCGGGCCTTTGGAGTTCAGGCATTCCTTCCAGTTGCGTGGGCGCATTTTTGCGGCACTGAGGTTCACGCAACACGCCGGTGTCGCGGCTTTGAGGTCCTCCCAGGAATGCCTGCTATGGCCAAGAGCAGTTGACAGTCGAGTTGGCCTCAATGCAACTGGATGACTTTTGTTTGCCCTTCCAAGACTATGTGGACAGCTGGTTGGTGCTGCGAAGACAGACAGGCTTTTGTTTTCTGCGTGGGAAGGATTGCGTGGCCGAGATGTTGGCGGAGTATGACCAGAGGAGACGGGTCTTGGTGGACGGACACCTGGGCTGCAAGAGCTCAGGCTTGTGACAAGGGTCTTGCAGAGGGATGAGGTAGATGATGGATCGCTGGTTTGCACGTCTGCCTTCTTGCGCTGACTTCGACATGGGGAGCTCCTGTAAGTATTTGCTTCTGACCTTGAGCGCTTACAAAAGAGTCTTGCAGAGGTCCTGAGTAGCTCAAATCAGGTTTCGAAGCAGCGATAGTCACGGAGTAATTGTAGACTTTGGGTGCACATGGGTTGAACAAACACATGCCGCCTCAAACAACTCGGACCTTGAAGGTTCTACACCGTTCAGCATTCTCTTCTGTGGGAAGTCTACGCAGAGTTCGGATACCTTGCTCAAAGAAACAAACGACGTTCTTAGCACAGCTGGAAACCAGCTAGTATTGTGCCCACCACTATCCAGCGCCCAGCGACGCCTGTTGCTTGCAATTTCGCCAGCCTTTCCTGATGCCGGATTTAAGCCAAGGACTAGCCAGCATCCCCGGGGTAAAGCTGTCCCGGTCTCAGCTGACGTATGGCTGATGCAAGGCTAAGCGCTGACGGAGGTTGAACCGGGCAAAACATGAAAATTAGTTGGGTGTGTGAAGGCATACAGGTAGACCAAATGGGGGCCCGGCCTTCTTTGGCTGTGAGGACGAGTTCAGAAGTTCAGGAATTTGCAGCCCGTGGGATGGATGTTGCTTGAAAGCACCGAATGGCAGCGTGGAACCCCCACTCCCCTTGCACTAAGGCAGGGCTGCCCTGAGGGCGCCTACTACGTCTTCCCGGACCTCTCCGCGTTCGGGGACTCGCAGGACCTCGAAGCTTGGCCTCGGAAAGGTGACTCTGAGTAGAACCTGGCCAGTTCTCTTGCATGAGGAGGGTGCACAGAGGCTTTCAGTAGAATTTAGAAACGTATTTGGTGATGACGTGTCCATACAACCATGACCGGCGCCAATCGCGGCGCAAAAGGAGTTTTGAACAGGACTGACACGAACTCATCTCCGAGTCTTGTACCGTTGGCGGCATTTGTATCATCATGGCGGCGAACAAGTGCAAGCCCAGGCAAGATATCTCTTGGATGAACATCACATCGCAGTGGTGGATGGAGGCGCTTCCGCTTCAAATTTTAACGCCTCCGGCTCAGGCCACCGAAATTACAGGCCTGCTTTCTTATTTGCGTCCCTTTGGAATTGTCCCATTGCAAGTTTTCCTTTGGATGTTTCCCATTGCCATTGGAATTATCCCATTGGACCCCTCCCTTTGGAAGTCTCCCAGCCAGATCTCCTCCTTCTCCCCTGTTCCGCCCTTCCGCCCCTAAGATCTCTTCCCCCCACAAGCCAAATAAACACAACAAAACAAGCAAAAAGAACCAACGCAAACCAAAGCGCATGCAAACAAAAACATGTGCATGATTTGCAAGCCTGCATCAACCGATCAGAGGTAACGCCAGCCCATTAGGCAACTGGGTCAATTGCCCCATTCGGTGCGGCAGCAACGTATCAAACATGATCCTGTACATGTTGTAATAGTAGTAGCACTTGAATGACGAAGCAACAATGATGCAAATGACACCAAGTATGGATATTTTGGCCCATCTACCGCTCACTTGGCCTTTCGCCACGCTGAGCGCGGCACGCTTCATTGTGGCTGGCTGGCGTCGTCATGTTGCTAAGAAGGCCATGTACCCCTGGGATCTTTTCCCCTCTTCCCCCCCTTTCTTCCCCCCTTCCCCTCCAAGATCTTCTCCCCCCCCTGAGATCTTCTCCCCCTTCTCCTCCCTAAGATCGCCCCCTTTCCCCCTAAGATCTTCTCCCCCCTTTCTGTCCCTGAGATCTTCTCCCCCAAAGATTTGTTCCCCCTTTTCCCCCCTAAGATCTTTTCCCTCCTTGTCCCCCTGTTCCCCCGTTTCCCCCTAAGATCTTGTGCCCCCTCCCTAAGATCTTTCCCCCCTTTGAGATCTTCCCACCAGCATGGGCAGCATCCCGAGCATCACTTGCATTATCCGCATCCTTGGCAGACACTGATGAGGATGATGCAGGTGGTGCTGGTGATGTTGCGCAGGAGATGCTAAGGATGCGAAAGCGGACCCACAGGGAATCGAACACCCCAATGTTTTTATGCAAAGGGAACGTCTAGGAATCACCACGTGGTACGTGGCTACCTAACAGGTAGAGAGGTGGGGAGCATTTCTTATGTCCAACACGCCTGTTGCAATTTTTGGGTTGATATGGGCTGGTAACACTGTCTTGCGGTTGTTTTGTGCTTTGCCCTACATTCACGTACCCTTTGATGTAGTCAGAGCATACAGCCGACGTAAAGATTAGGATGACGTGTTCCACGGACACATGAAGAGCATGCAAAGACATGTCAGCTAAACTCTTCAGGCAACAGACAATTTGACCGTGTCTCATATCCGGAGATATTTTCATATTATAATGATGTATATCATACCTGCGAACCTGCGCGCATTCTTTCATGTCGTTTTACTCCAAGTTTTCGTCTTCATTTTTTTTTTATAAAGGGACTCAACAAGCTTTGGCGTTGACTGTGGGCAACCTTTAATCCTGGAATCCAAAGATACTTTGATGAGTTTCGAAGAACGTATTTGTTTTTGGTTTGACAAGCATTTTTGCAGGACATGCTTATATACGGGGACTTGTTTGCAAATCCGACTTTTTTCATAGTTCCAGTGCAAATCTTTTCAGTGGGCCAGAGGCAGCCCTGTGCAGCACACTTGTTGAGGACCACTTTTCATTCGCTGCACTACACATGTTGCAGGAGTTTGCTATCAATCAATTCAAGTGCGCTTCAAATTGTGCAGTTCTTTCAGCGTCTATCCCCCAGCGATTTTTCCAAGAGTTTCTTTCACGGCAAACTAGCTAATTGTGTCTTTCTCAGGGAATCCCTGTCAAACTGAACATGACACATATTTCCTTCTTCTTTTGCTTCTTGTGCTACGTGCAGTACTTTAGCATTTTACTTTTGATTAGAACTTTCATCAAAGACACCCCACTTCAGACTTACCCACTGGTCCCGCTTGCCCCAGAGATCAAGCAGCCAACAAGACTCAATCGCCGCAGCGCAAATTTGATCATGAGATTCACCAATGAAGTGCCGCCAAACAGTTGCCACGTTCCGTGTTCTTGCTTTGCAACAGAAATAAGCAGTTAGACTTCCCATGTATCCCAGCCATAAGTAGAAAGGAGTGCCTGCCCAAACGTTGCTAGCTCTGGCACAGGCATTCTTACTGATCCAGTTGTGGATGGCTCGTTTAGCTGTAGCATATTGTTTTTCTCTTGAAAACCGTTGGGTGCGTAAGAAATAGTTGTTTTGGCCCAGCCGCACCTCGCCCGACCATTTGCGACCTTCGGTCTCATGCTGTGTTGAAGGCTCACTGTCACTGAACCATGTGGCATTTTGGTTTGCCGGACGGCTTTTGGTTTCGCAGGCTCGTTTCTGCAATCGGAGTCTTCGAACTTGCAGTATAGCACAACAATGCGGCGAAGTACGTGCGTATTGGAAGCGTGCTCGTCTTGGAATGATGTGTTGCTCGAATCCTGGCAGGCGTCTTTGGAGAGGAGGGCAAGGGCCACGTGCGCATTGCCTACTCTTGCTCAACAGAGGAGCGCTGAGTGGGTCGGTGGTTGTGCAGAGAACTCTCGTCGGATCAATGGACAGGACTGCCGCCGAGGTGTGGAGCGGCTCGGCCGTGCGCTGCGCGCAAGGTGAAAAGTGCACCAAGAGTGGTTTGATGGAAATGGGCCACCAGGACTGCTCTGTGTTCTTATCCCGAAGGCAAAAAAACGTCTGTGGAAAAGGGTTTCTGATTGAGAGTCCTAGAGCAGCGGTGGGATGTTTGTTTTTTCGTCGACTGTTCGAGTTTGGGAGCAGTGTTCAGGCAGATCCTTGGTGAGGCTTTGTGTGAGCACGTCGCCCCGCTCGCCAGTGGTGGCTCTTAGAACTATGAAGTGCCATTGAGCCCAGCGTTCGGGTTGCAGCGCAACGTTTGTGTATGTAACACTGATTCAGATTTGATCACCTCGTAACCCTCGTAAAGTTTTGATCGTCTCTCATCCAAGCGATTGCAACACTTATGTCTAGCTTTTTGCAGAAGTGCTAAGTCTTTGTCTGTGGAGTGACGCCAGTCATAGCCGTCAGGGGAAAGCGGACTTCCTTTCAGCAGGAAGCATGGCGTGCGATTTGGCTCCTGCTCTGCGTGGGCCTTGCAAGAGGGAGGGGGTGGATCCTGCGATCAATAAGTGCAGGTATGGATATCATCAATTAAGCTAATTGGGCCAGTATAGAAGATCACTCCGAGATATGCCTTTCTGCTTTCAGGTTTGTGCACGCCAACTTGAGATATTCGTGGAATCGTTCCTTGCTCGTCCATGATTCGTTCATTGCATGTGTTCGGAGGCAGAGCGGAACAAGGAAGAAATCTACCTGCAAAAAGCACCAAATTAATCTTCTTCTTCTTCTTCTTCTTCTTCCATGCAGCGCAGCTCTGAGCTCGACAACTGCAAAGCTTCCATAGTTTCCGCAACTGTTGACCATACAATCATGGATGTCAGAGTGAAGGCCAAATTGACAGCTGGAGAATCGCATGAAGCTTTGACTGCAACTATGTCATTCACACTGCTAGGTCCAGACACACAAAGATGCCGTCAGTTCCTACGCGCGTGACTGCCATTTCTTTTGTCTGAGGGAATCCTTTTGGTGGGGTTGGTTTCAAGGGACACCAAAAGGAAACCATCATTTTGGGGTTCCTCTAAAAAAGACACCCAAATACCTCAGTGTTGTCCTTTTATGAGATGTTGGGAATGGCAAAATGTATCAGATTCTTTTCTCCGTCAAGTGCATAGGCTTGAGTGTTCGGTTTCAGGGGTTGACCTAAGCAGTCCGTTCCAGGCTTTTGGCGCCGTATGTTCTGTTAAGCATTGCTGGGATGTCAAACCGGCGGCTGTCGACTATTGAACATGGGTCTCGTCAATTTGTCATGTCCGGAAGAAGCAAGTTTCTCCAAGTGGGCGCCACAAGCAAGGCAGACACAACGGGCGCTGGCCACCCGGGAACGCTTTTTCGCGGCCTATCTGGGCACGAGGCGCATTCCGCCGGCGCCAGTGGTGTTGCAGGAGGGCGGCAGCAGCAGCTCCAGAGGCGCGATGCGAATGAGAATGGGCCGCTTGGTTCCCATCGAAGCGATTGAGCGCCATCGATCGGGATTGATTTGGCTGGTCAAAACCCATGGGATACCGTTTTGGTTGGTAGGTGAATTCACCACCCATTGTCGGGATTTTAGTGGGGATTGGGATGTTCACTGGGGGTACCGGATTTTGACCCAGGCCATTTAGAGAAATGCCATTTGCTGCTATCACTGCCGGTCTGGCTGGTTCTCAAAGGTGCTTGTCTGCATCGTCTTATTACTTTGTTCGTCTTTGGCGAAGTCGTTGCAAGGTTCCTCGCGGTTGCCGCTGGCATTTTGCTTTTGCCCAGGTTCCCTTGAAGTGTCGCGGGTCGTGACCCCTTGTCGTTTTTGTGGGCGTGTCAACGACAAGACAAGATGCTTGTGCCCTGTGCCTTTCGCAAGGTCGGCCTGGGCTTTTGGATTGGCCGGGATTCCGACGGGCCGTGAGAGTGGGCGAACTGGTGCCGGCAGATAGGCACCGGGCAGTCGAGCTAGCGAGACGCTGGATTGTTTGAGAGGCAGGCAAACTCTGAGTCACCTTTACTGGATGGTTGAGAGGAATCATAGTGAGCGGTTTTTTTCTGTATGAGAACACGCCTTTCCTTGAACAAGTTTGTTATCCAGGAGCAACATCAGTTTGTTCTGCATTCCGGCTGAAGCCATTTGACGCCAGCACTTGTCTCATGGCTTGGCCGTAGCATTGTCAAGCATAGCATCATTCTTTAGGCGGAATATAAGCAACCTATGGGGAGAGGATATCCAAAACCCCAACATTGTTGCCTCCACGATTGGGTCAGTGATCGCATCTTCTCATCTCAGCAAGTTGACGCAGGCAGTGGCGCACAAAAAACCACTACCAGTCAATAGCAGCGCCAAGTTTTGCTCCTGCGAGGCCGCCCCCGCTTTCCCATAGGTTGCCCTACGTTCCCCATGCCAAATGTCTAATGTGTGGCATCATCAGTCTGGTCCAAAGTCTTCTTTGGTTTGGCCTGTGTTTCCCGGTCCCAGCTGCACAATGAACCAACGGCAAGCAAACGCGCCCCGCACCGCACCCAAACCAACCCTACTTTCAAGCAGGCCAAGCACCAAGAGCAAAAAGCAAAAGCCCAACTGCGCATCAAGCCTAGATCATGGCAAAAGGCCGCTACAAAGACATCGCCCTCCAAAACCTGGGAACACAATAAACCCCTTTGCACATCCACAAAGCCAACTCGAGAAACTGCACTGCAAGTGCCACTGCTCAAGGCTCACGGGAATACTTCCGGAAGCGTCTAACTGCTGAGGAGCTGGAGCTCTTTGACCGGAGCGGGGCCCGGGGCTTGGAGTTTGCAGGCGCCGGCTGTCCGCCTGGTGGCACTTCTGGCGTTTTTGTTGGCTTCCGGATGACTAGACCCGCCAGAAGGTTTGCCCAGAACCAGAGTAGCAGCTGGAAGAGTTGAGGCTGCTCATTTGGTGCCGGCCAAGCCTTACCTGCCTGGGGGCCGAGCTGGAGAGGGGCAGTGCCATGACGTTTATGCACTCGTTTTTCATGGAACCGGAGCCATTGATAGATCCAGCATTTGCGCGGCCCAAGGCCTGTCTAACTTGTCCAACGTTTCCATTGAGCATATCATGATGAATGCAGAGTGCACAGACGCAACATGCTGAGCCTTGTCGACAGGAGCGAAATTGCCTTGAAGAGCCACAACCCGCATGCCTGTTGGAGCGGACTTGGCGAGACGTGCATCTCTATCATGTCTTGCTGCTTGAAGCTGGGTCTATCCCAACTTGCCTGCACCCCTGGGCCAAGCACTGACCGCGCAGCGCATGGATGCTATTTCAATACGGGTCCAAAACATATTTCTCGAAGTTCATGTACTAGCACGTTCAGACAAACTGCCAGCAGCCAGCCTCATATAAGCAAAGGAGGACGTCACTTTGTTGCATTTTGCTTGGATGTTAGGACTAGCTTTTTGCCAACTAGTGGGTTTTCCATTAAACCACTAAAAGTTAAACTTTCAGCAGGGGAGCAGAAAGCAACCGAGGTCAGCGCCGTCCAATTACGTGCGCGAACTGCATCAAATGCTTTTCGGGCGACCCTGCAGCTTCACTGCTTTCCCGCACAGCTTGCATTTGCTCGGCATCGATTTACAGCGCCATGGGCGGATGCTGAGCCATGTTCAAAGACGAGGCGATCGGGAGGGGCGGAGCGTCTTTTCACAGAGCTCAAAGATGACGTCCAAAAAGGTCCTCTGCATGGGGCATTTTGAAATCTCATGAAAGGCCAGCAAGGGTAATTTCTTCTCGGATTTCGGGGGTCATCTTACACATTGATTGGGAAGATACATCTCACGAGAGCTCACCCTGATTTGATTGCCCATTGTTCTGTTTTGCATTGTTGCCAGCATGATTGGGTTGCTTGATAGCGATCAGTTGCCATGGAGCAAGGTGTGCGTGTGTTTGTGTCTATTTAGGATATTCTGCATTCGTGAGGGTTGAAGACTCTGTTGCATGGCTTGTGACGGCTGACAGGAGCCTATCCCGGTCACGTCGGACCCATACCAGATTCACGACGGACTGGAGGCTGTCGGTGGGAGCAGCATGCACATGGTTTAGAGTTCACACAGTTGGTATTGGGATGGCTCGACAACTTGGGTTTGTCTAAGGTTGGAAGCGCTGGAAGGGGCAAAGGCAAAATTCTGATTGGTTTGAGTGCCTTGTTTGGTTGGTTGCCTCTTCTGCGAAGAGGCATGCTTCAGCCTGGGTGGGTTAGCTGATCAGGCTATTTGCAAGACAATGACATGTGTTTCATGCAGACCCCACAACTGCTCCTGACGGTTCCCGATACTATAGGCTTGGGTCTTCCTTCCCTTTGAGGGGCACAATATTCAGGGAAAGCTCTACCGGAGCCTCGGCTCAGATTGAGCTGCTACCTGAACCTATGTTGTCATGTCAGAGGAGCGACAACTTCGAAATCAACAATATTGGTGCAGTGAGTCATGACGGAGTTTGCCAGACTGCATCCTGCAGGAGTCAACGGAGGAAGATGTGACAGAAGAGAGCGATGCTGAGGAGGACTGCTTGGAAGTGATTTGCTGGCTCAAGTTTGGAGGTTTGTTGCTAGATGTCTCCACCACTGCAAGTACGTCACCATGTGAGCGAGCTTTATGTGCAGGGAGAGTGTGAAGAAGGGGTCTAGTCAGGTCCGGCGTGAGGAATTTGAGAGTTGCACTGCTCCGTCTTTTTGCCACACGGATATAAACAAAAATGCAGTTCACTTCTGTGATTTTGCTACCAGCAGGTTTGCAGAGGCCCAGGTCCGCAAGGAGACGTGTTGCGTCCAAATGCAAAGTCAGATCCATGAAGCAGGGTATTTCATGGTATTTCTCCTTCTTACGGTCAGACAACCATTGCGCAATTGGGGTGGAGCTTTCCCTTCCAGGCCGAGCCGGAGCCAAAGAAGACGGCATCGGCGAAGGCCGGGCGTGTCGATGCAGCGCTTGCAGTCTTCAGCAACAGATTGGGTTTGAAATGTCAGTCTTACAAGGAGAATGGCTGACATTTGCGGGCAACAACAAACAAAAGGCACCGCAGACTTTGGACTTGTTCTCTTGCGGCTCGCCGCGAGGCTGGCGCGCCCGCCAGATCCGAGGCCGAGTCTGATATGAGCGCCTTTTTTTTTTTGAAAGCCGAAAGGAACGTCAAGCAGACCTGCAAGGTATCAGATTCATTCGCCTGGTTTCAGGGCCAAAAAAGAAGGGAGTGGCAGGGACGGAGCACCACGAGCTGAGGAGCACTGAGAACAAAAGGATCACATGATTATAAAGCTTGGGACTTCTTGTGCAATTGGGAACCTGTTCATACGGTCACACACACACACACATATTTACGTTGTTGTTCTCGTAGATGTCTAAACCTTCGTCTTGTCACGGCTGATGCCTCCCTTTAGACTGGTCCCAGACCCCCACACCCCACCCCATCAGTCCCCCGTCCTCTTTGCTCGCTGGTGCTGATTAGGGAATATGTGGGATTCCCTTCAAGGGAGCCACAAGTGATGCTTTGCAGGGGTCATTCCCCATCCTCTTTGGGCCCCTCCCAAATCCCCCGTCACCCCCGTCCCTCCTGTCCCTCTGCCTCTCGCAGGCGCTCTGCGCCTACGGCCGGGCGCTGCGGAGTTTGCTGCCCTCGGAGGCCTGGCAGAGTGCGGCGCAGGAGGCGCAGCAGCTGATCCAGGCGCCTCAGCAACTTCTCGGGCTGAGGGAGGCTTTTTGGCGTTTTTTTCTTTTTTCTTTGGGGGTTTTTGGAGCTTTCTCACCCGAATTTTTGTGGTGGGTTGGAATGGAAGCCCAAAAGCAAACCACGTTTTTTTTCCGTTCTCGCTTTTGTTTTGGAAGAGGAAAGGTTCCTAAAGAAAGACATACCCTTCTATCTAAATTGGAGCTGCATAGAGTGACATATTAGAGTTCCATATCCAAATATTTGTTAGGCCATGACATGTTTGCCCGACCAAACACAAACTCGCAGACGATGCGTTTGGGCTGAAGGTATCGTTGACTGCGTCGTTTTGCGTCTTGCAGGCTGTAAGTTCAAGGCAAATGTTGGACTTGCTCTTGTAGAGTCATTGACAAGCGGGCTACATCAGTGGATGGGTACAACTGCCTTCACAAGTGAACAACTACGACCCCGATGGAAGCTAGTTTCGGAGGTACATGTTCATGATTTTCTAGTTTTGAAAAAACCCACGCCTCAAATGGCCGAAGAACGTGGAGAGAGCCCCTGGCATTTGCCGGGAAGGCGTCAGACTTTGACAGGCAAGATAGGTTCAACCAGTCGTGAACCGAAAGAAACATAGGGCTCATTTGATCCATGGCGTTGAGAGATGCAAAGGAGCCAAGGGTTCCCTGACGGGCGTTCTGGGCTCCGGTTGCTCCCCTCGCGGGCTTCTCCTTTCGCGGGAGCTGAATTACAGACCTGAGAGCTTCTGGCATGGGGAGAGGAATGCATGCGCAATGTGGAGGGAGCGGGGATGGGGCACGCAAACTGCGAGCGCCGTTCAATGCTCAGAATCTTTGCCGCGAGAGCAAAGACCGAAGTTTCACGCAGGCGGCGGCGCTGCGGCTGTCCCCGGACGCCAAGGTGCGAAGCTTTGGGTCCTTTGCGCAGGGCACATGCCTGGCAGGCGGGAGCCTGGGTTGGAGTGGGGTGGATGAGAAGGGGGGGCAAGGAGTTCGAAGGCGAGGGGTTTGGATTTTTCCGCAAGGATTGGAAATTGGTATTTGTCGCTTTAGGGCAGGTTTTCTTGGGGTGGGCAGATGACGCAACCCAACATGTGCTTCACATTCAGGCTAAGAGTCAGCATTTCTGCCTATGCTTCGCTGCCGCATTTTCCAAAGAACAGGTTCCTGATGCAACCGAACCCGTGTTAGGTTCAAGTCTTCTGCAGTAAAGCTTTGCTTTCTGAATGGCAACCTTGCTATGTCTTCTAGCATGTGCTCTTGTTTTGGGAGGTGTCGATTCTGCTTGCGTGTTTCATTATAGTCCAGCTAGGGTGTAGCACACTCAGGCTCCGACCTTGACCTTTTCATTGAGAGTGCGCAGCTGGTGCCACCCCCTGGGAAGCCTCGAGATTGGCATCGGAAGCAGGCACGGGACTGTCAAGTGTTTGCACGCTCCGCTGCGGGCTGTTCGGTGTGAGAGCGGAGTGGGCATAGCCGTGACCTGCGGAGTGTGCTGTGCAGGTCACGGCTCTGCAGAAGCTGCAGGGCGGGCTTCCGCTGGCCAGCTTCCGAGTCAAGGCGCACGGCGCAGGGCGGGCGGGCGGGCGGGCGGGAGGGCGGGGGGCCGCGTCGGTCTTTGCGCTGCCCACGCCCAGGAGACTCGGTATGAGTGGCACGTGCGGGTGCCCATCCTGATCTTATTCTTCCGATCACATGGCATGGAGCTGCAGGTGGGATCATTGCAATGGAGTCGAGCCTCAAGATGTAGCGCCTGTATGCGAGCTGTTTCCATTTCTGACCGTTTCATGTAGGGCCAAAGCCGAAGTCAACATTCTCCGCCATTTGGCACATCGCACCTGGAAGTCCTGGAAATGACCTCGGGAGCTTGTGTCGCGCCTTCAGGTGGATGTCTCTGTGGGAGATTCTGACCATGCGGCGGTGAAGAAGGGCAAGGTAGATCGCCTCATCCGGGGCGCGCTCGCCCAGGCCAGCGCAATCAGACTTCTTAGCTCGCCCATTCGAGCTGACAGCTTTTGATGCGGATTTGTGGACGTTTTTGGCGGCTTGTGGCTCCGGCTATGACCCAACCATGAAATTCGTTCAGCAGGTGCCGAGGGCATTGGCCATGGTTCTGCTCATCAAGCGCTGGGCGCGGTTGGAGAACCTCAACAAGCCCTTTGAAGGGCACTTGCTTCCTGGCAGAATCAAAGGCAATTGCAGCAGTTTTTGTGTCATCTTCAAAGTCAACCTTTCGAACTTTCAATACCTGAGTCTCA